AGTTAACGACAAATTTGATTTTTTTCCAAAAAGCTAATTTTTGCATTCTTTATCGGTGTTTTCGCGTTCTTTGTCGCATATCCCTATTTTAATGGCTCGTTAGCGGCGTCCTCAAGGGATATAGAGGGTAGACATATCTCAGTGATTTTGTGGCTGAATTGCAGTGCTATAAGCTCAAGAAGACTATGTTGCTTTCTTTGATGTAGCGACATGTTTGCATTCTTGAAACTCTTTTACTCTCAAACAATACTGAACGAATTATAAAATACAGTTTTACAAAAATAGACGAGCTTCGGACACAATTACAGAGTGATCACATAGCAAGAAATATTTTTTGTTAGTAATTTCATATGCATGGGGCAGAATTGTTCCCAGTTCGCTAACTGTTTTCACAAGCAGCGTGAGTGTACGGCAATGGACAACCTGTTGTCTACTTTCATGACTAATCTATTCATGAGCGGATTTGAAATGGAAGCAAGAGAAGAACTACGTAGAAAGGGGATTTTGTAATTTTTCTCGATAAGAAATCACATATGAAACTGAAAATAATGAAGAGTTACCGTTCTTGAATGTTCTAGTTATGAAAAACATCAATTTGTGAACCCCAAATCTTTAGAGATTCAAGAAACATTCTCTTTTCGTTAGTCAAAACTATGAAGTGTACAAAATTGAAATAAATCTATGGCTTATAATAATTTCCAAACCGTTACAAGTAACTGCGAATTGTCTCGGAATGAACCCAAGAACGGAGTCAATCAACAAATAATCCATACTGACTATCGAAACAGATTGTCTCGAAAAGAATCCACAACACATTGAAAACAAAAAATAATTTCAATTCATAAAAAATGTAATATTGAGTGACACTTTCAAATTTCAGTATTGATATAATTTTAATATTTCTGATAATTCTAATCAACACCTGCTAGAACACGTCAACCGTTTTATAAATATCTCCAAAGCGAAATTACGTAGGTTTGCAATATAGAACATCATGATTATATTGTAGATATTATGAATTGATAATAGTCATAATATCAATAAATATTTGTTGATCCCACACAGAGCCTCAGGTAATCCTTAATTTAATTATCATTTACAACTAAATCGTCTTGACTTCACTAAAACTCGTATTAGTGGCTATAAATACGTTGTCGTGAACATAAATGTGTGTTGTCAGAACAAGGAAAGAAATTGGAAAAATCCAAAGGAGACAAAATGTCTAGTCTTCGAATCTTGGCATTTATTAAAAAAGTACCTACAGAAATATCATTAAAACCAACAAAAAATCAAATTCGATAAAAACTCAAAAGAGAAATTCCGTAAGATTCCAGACGCTGAACTCTACGTAGAAGCAGCAACCTCATCCCCTTAAGGGAGAGTTATTTAGATCGGATCATATCGTTTTTCCATATAGAACAGCAAATAAGAAACTCGCGTTCCTTATTTGCGTTCAATATGTATTCTTCCTACACGGTCTTGACCGATGAATCGTACCTTACCCAGCAGTTGTAGCCGACGTGAAGGTCATTGGTCACAGTATCCAAAGTTGCAATTTTTACCTTCGTGGTAAACGACGGCGAATAGCTTGTATGGCTTCTCTGTTAAAGACTGTGTTTCCGACGATATCAAAGTCGAATTAATCTTCAAGTAAAATTCAAAATCCTAAACTTTAATAATCTTCGTGCAACGGTCGTGGTTGTATTCGAAAAACTTAAGATGCAAAATGAGGACAACGGGAATTTTGCTGAGCATTTTGCTCCCACGCTTCGACCTTCTCGTTTGTTTTAGATGAAGTCAGCTTCTCTAAACTGTTCTTGGAGACGAGTACCTTAAGCGCTTCTCTGACAGTCTCAACTTTCTCAATGTTGAGTGGCAGGGTGAGGACAGGTTGGATATTCTCAGTAATGTGATCCCCGTTGCGATGAATGCTGGAATTTAGTTGCCCCCCGAAGATGTCACTTATCGGTGTACTGGTGAAGTCGATCCTTCTCGTTGGATGTCCTTTATTTTTCGATTCCATTATGTTCCATGCATTACTTGAATCATTGCTCAAAGCAGAATCAACGAGAGGTTTTTCATCTTCAATATAATATTCAAACAACTCCTTTAGCTAAACATTTAATCACTGAGTCCATTCAAAAGAAAACCTAGAAACTCTTCCGCATCTTGTTATCTACCCTCGATCCAGTCAGTCCGCATGTAATGCAGCATTTTATAAATCCACGTCGGACCGAAAGAAATGCCAGTGTTGATTAGAACTTCTTGGTCATTCTTGGAATTTTCATCCACTCTCCCGTCAAAATGTGGGAAGGTAGGTGAACAAAACTATTCCACAAAACGACACATTCCAAATATAACCGAGGTAGATGTCATTCTTTCGTTCGAAAAGATATTTTTACTCAGACTATTCAGTAAGTTGTAGAGTAGTGGATATGCGATCAGGGCTTGCGAAATCGAGTTGATATAACAGTAATTGTTTTGGCTTGGCTGCAAGTTCACTGCCCTACCGTCGATCGTGTATGTAGATAGAAACATGCCTTAGTTATATCAGACCATTTTTGTGGGTGAATGAAAATTTCTTCAAGACTTTGAGAAGGAGAATAAGTGCCGAGAATTGAGGCAGCATTTCCTCTCTTAATTGCAATGCTGATTCATTGTATTAGAAATGATCTTGCTCTAGACTCGCCTGTTACTGTAATTAGTTTTCGACCAATATCTCTGAAAAAATCGGAAGCAAAGGAAACAAAGCTACCAAATATTTCAATGGCAATTGGATAGAAAATATATTGATCTTCCAGACAACTGTATTTCCACTGTTTCATTTTTTTAGTATATTCAGCGGCTCCACCAGCAGTTTGCAAAGTTGAATTGAAATGATAGTGAGCCAAGGTATCCACACAGGTTAAATCCCAAACCAAAGGTTTTCCATGTCTCCAAGAGATGAGAGACATTCCATCAGGACGTTTTCCATCATCTAGGCTAATTCCAACAGGTTCAATCGCAGAAGGGATATTGGCTGTTGACAATGCATTATATCATTTACTGCACAATGTCGGGAAAAGCGACCTGCCCTAAATTCACAACTGATACCATTAGTACCATTTTCATCAACAACGAAACCGCACCGACATTTGTGATTAACACAGATCAAACATCCTAAACGAATGTCTGTTGAAGTTCTGAAATTTTCGTCGTCTAATAATGTTCCCAACGATGCAACGGGAAATGCGTTGAGCCACGCGCCAGATTCATTAGTAGTTACAGCTTTGAGGCGAGCCTGATCTGTAAGGGATTCCTTAGCTGTAACCACGAGTTCTGTAGGTAACATCTGCAATAAAGGAAGATCCTAAGATTTTTGAGAGCCCTTGTTATCAGGTATTGGTGCATTTACTTTTTCCATCCATATTTTTCCGCCTTCCAAATAACATGTATTATCAATATCAGAGAAGAAATTTGGTAAAATAGAATGAATCAGATGCATTATTGAAGGAGGAGAGAAAAGATGGTAAAGCAAGTGAAGATGATTGTCGGGTACCAATACCACCCAGATTCACCGGAAGCGAAGCTTTAATCCATGATTTGTTTTTTTAAGTTATTATTGGTTATTTGTTCCAAGATTTCTCGAAGTGTTGAATCTATTCAACGAAAGTCATTTTTTGTGGAGGAAAAAAATCAGTTTTTTATCGACCTTTTTTTGGGTAATTGTTACCTTCCACAACCTGAAAAAATATAAAAATTATAATGGAGAACTTTATACAAGTGTAGAAGGGCAAACTTTTTAGTTTACCCCGAAAACATCAATTTCAGTTACTTGAAGAAGAACCAGGTTTTCATTTCCATTGCCTGGAATGTTGAGTTCTAGATGGCTTTTCTCAGAGGAATGTTTTGATTTGAGCAACATAAATGTTTCATTGTCAAAAATAGTATTTGAGTCAGTCGAAGATAAAATTCGTATAGCCGAAGTAATATCACCATCAGAAACTTTATTGATTATATATTTACTTTTATTTTGTTTCATTTGTGGTTTTTTCATATCTGGGCGGAAATTTCTGGGGGTAAAAAGGACAATACGTAACTCGGTGAAGACCTCTTACTTCCCTATGAAAAATTTGGAAATCATAATACACTGATAAGATTGCCCTATTTGCTGACTTACGAAAACTGAAGATTTTTTGATTTATTCATAATGAACATCTATGTTGTTTTTTATGGATGCCGCTCAATTTCATATAACCGAATATATCTAAATCTAAAATGGATGTTATTTGCCAAGTCAGTATATTTGAAAATATGTAGTAAACTTTTTTCTTGTTTTCAATCTTATCGAAATTCTGTGAACATGTCGATCATTCCAGATTCCATTGAAAATAAATTCGATCGGTTTTTATCTGCAGTTCAGACTGAACTTTAACTTTTGGCAAAAATTATTTTATCAACTTTCAAAGAATCATGATGAAAATCAGTAACTGTATAATAGATTTGATAACAATAGAAATTATCAAACTTTTATCTGATTCGTTAAATCATTGGAATGCATCGAGATCAAACTCAGACCGAATAAGAAAATAAACAACTGAAGCCCGAACGCACGACGTAAATGTCTAAAGTATATAGGTACTGATTCAACAAATGATAGTATAAGAGCTCAGTATTTCAGTCAAAATAATTGTAACTGAATAATGTAACCAGAGAAAAACTGTTCTGTCAGAAATTACAGTATAGATACAGCTAGCAAATAGTCCTAGATAAGTACCCAGTCCAGTTGAAATTTAAATATTCAAAATTATTCACCATATCACAATATTTTCGTGAGGTGTCATATCAGAATGATAAATTTCACAATATCAATCAGATGACAATATACCACAGTGTTATCCATATTGGGTTTTTGTGGAATGTTTTTACTGAATAAAAATATAACACGTTCGCCGTAAAATAGACACGGCCAACGCTCTTCTGCTGGATCAACAACGCGCATGTTCATGACATCACGAAAGCCGACTGTCGGAGATTACGTAAACTACCAGCTCGTGACTGTCTTTTGGCTGATTATCGCCATTTTATTGTCCTATAGAGAGAGAATTAATGCGAAGACAGCATAGATAGTGTGCGTGCGTGTGTATCGTGGAATGTATAAGGTGTTGTTGATGTTATAGTATAGAATTTCAACCAAAAACAGTTTAGAAAATGAAAAATTTAGTGTCGTGTGTTATCTTGAATTTCCTATTTTTTATCAACACGGTATATTCAGAAAGTAAGTTCTATTTTCCTATATTAGGGCGCGGTGAATAACTCTGCCAAAGGGATTACCAGGGGTTCAAAAACATTCTCTATTCCATGACCTAATGGTTACAATCCGAATATTTTTCCATGAATCGATATGCTACGATTTCTGTGCTAAAGTTATATTTCTGCATTCTAGGGTTTGGACGAACACAAACGTTATAATTTTAACTTTTGCCAGGCTCACGGATGTATTCTTGTTAGAATTGAAGGTAAATTTTCGTTATGTGGACACCCGGCGATTTTGAAAAAATTTTTGACTGTACTTACGTATTTTGATGCGTAGATTACGAATCCGAAAGAAAAAAGCGGCGCTCTCCCTTATTTAAAAAGTTACGGCCCTTCAAAGTTCAGAAAAGGGCAACTTTTCAGCCTTCTTTTTCACTAAATAAACTATTTAAAAACACAAGCATTTATTCACTAGGTCACCTTTACACCTTATTCCTCCTTCTTTAACACTTTTCACTTCAATAATCAACATTTTTCTTATAAA